ACAATATATTCTCTAAACTTAAGAGAATTAAGATTATCAATAAGAAAAACATAAATAGGAAATCCCGCTAATGACTAGTGATTAAGCACCATACTTCTCAATAGCTTATATGTCAAAGAAGAAATCAAAACAGAAATTGCAATATATTTCAAATTAAATTAGAATACGAACATGGCATGTCAAACTTAGAGGGTAATTAGAGCTGTGCCTAGATGAATGTTTATAGCTTTTATTTCATTAATTAAAAGGGGAGAAAAGCTGAAAAATCTATGATCCTAGTATCCAACCCAGGAAGTTAAAAATATAGTGAATTAAACCCAATGAAAGTAGAAGAAAGATAACAGAGATGTGACAATTTAATTTATGGCATCGACACCTTTGGGTCTTAGGGTACTCAGCTATTTGATCAAACACTATTCTCAGTGTTTCTATGAGGATGGTGTTGGACAAAGTTAACATTAAACCTATAGACTGAGAAAAGCAAATTGTCCTTCATAATGTGGATGGGTTTCATCAATCGGATGAAGGCCTGAATAAAACAAAAAGGCTGAGCCTCTCCTGAGGAAGAGAGATTCTTCCTGCCTGTCTGCTTTGGAATTGAGACATCAGCTTTTACCTGGCCTTTGGGACTCTAATGGAAACTTCGACTCTTCCTGGTACTTGAGACTGCTGGTCTCTAAACCATAACTACACCATCAATTTTCCTGGTTCTCAGGCCTTCAGATTCAGACTGGAACAACATCATTTCTCCTGGGTCTCCAGCTTGCCAACTTACCCTGCAGATCTTGGGACTTGTCAGCCTCCGTAATCATGTGAGCCAATTCCTCATGATAAATCTTTCTATACAGAAATATATCCTATTGACTTGTTCATCTAAAGAACTCTAATTCAAAAAATAAGAGTAGATAATCTATTAAAGTAATGGAAAACAAAGTTAATACTTTAGCAAAAATGAGAGTTGATTTTTTGAATTTGATGTATCCGTGGCAAGTCTAATCAAGAATGAATGAGAAGGCACACAAGATCACAAATAATTTTTGTTCATTCTAGGAATGTTGTTGGTTTAGCATTTTAAGAATGTAGTTGGTTTAGATTTTCAAAATCAATATAATTCACATTTTAACTGAAATTAGGGCAGAATATATGACATTAAAAATAGATAAGAAACATTTAATAAAATTCAACTTCCCTTCAGGATAAAAATCTCTTGGTATTCTAGAAAAAGAAAGAGACTTCTTGACTCTGAACTTTGTTAATTTACCCAAAGCTAAGAAAATGTCCTCCTTAATGGTGAATAAATAAAATTTTTCTGGTAATCAGAAATGAGATAAAGTGCCTATTATGTATCTTTTCTATTAAACATTGTACAGCTATTGACAATATAAATTATTAGAGAAAGTGAGAAAGAATTGAAACCTTCATATGCAGCTTGTGGAAATTAAAACTGGTTTAACCACTTTGGAGAACTGCTTGGTAACATCAGTTAAAGTTAAACATGTTCATACTCTATGGACCAGCATATACTTGATAGAATGCACATATTCACCAAAATATATATATATAAGTTTGTTCATTTCATCATTATTACATTGATTGTAAAATGAATACATTAATTGTGGTAGTGTGATAGCTAAAACAATGGAATACTATTTGAGTAATGCAATTGAATAAACTACAACAAATAAAATAGAAATAGAAGCAAGACAAAAAAATAACATGTAATACATAATTCTTACATAAAATTCAAAAACAGATAACAGTAACCTATAATGTTAAAAATCAGGACATTGTTTAATTTTAGAAAAGAGGGAAGATATTGACCTAGTAAGAGTATGAAATAGGGTTCTGAGAGGCTTGTATTTTTTAAAAAAATTTCTTGTCTTTTTGTTTTATTTCTTCACATGGGTAGTTTCATGGATATATGAATACACAATAAAATATTTTAAAATTAAGCCTCTATTACTGATCAAAGAAATTTATAAAATGTGAATTAATTTATATCCTTTATTTTCAGAATCCAAGATCTTATTTAATGAGGAAACATAGATGCACTAAGAAGAAATGATGCTCACCCTCTCCACTATTTTTAACACTATAGGCTATTTTAGCAAAGCAGTTAGACTAATACAAACACTTAGAGAAATAAAAATTGAAAAGGAAGAGTAAAATGTCTGTATTTTAGATTATTATGAAAACATGCCTGAAATGACTAAGAAAATCAACTTTAATTATTGTTATTTGTATTCTTGATGGTTACCATTCTAATGAGAGTGAGATGAAATCTCATTGTAGTTTTGATTTTTATTTTCCTGATTACTAAGGAGGTTCAATATTTTTTTCACTTATTTGTTATATACATTCACGATTATGTCAAAATGAACCCCCATTGTATTATATATAATACATGAATAAAAACAAGAAAAAACAAAATTAACATTAAAATAAATACAAATAATAAAATAATTGAGAAGGATGCATACCCAAATTCAACTATATAAATTTTAGTTTCTGGAAAAGATAATGAAAAGAATAGCTCATATAAAATGACAACGAAAACATCAAAATAATTAAGTATCAAGTTAACCAGAAAATAAAAATGTAGAACACTTGCAAACTTCTTGTAAGATATAAAAGTATACTTGAATAAATAAAAGGCATTCTTTAGTCTTTGATTAAATGTCTCACTTTTTTTTATTTCTGAAGTTTACTCTTTTTCTTGACTTTTAAATTTTTATTTATATTTATTACTTTTTATTTATATATGAAAGCGGAATGCATTACAATTCTTATTACACATTTAGAGCACAATTTTTCATCTCTCGTTGTATAAAAAATAAATATTGACACCAATTCGTGTCTTCATACTTGTACTTTGGATGATAATGATCATCACATTCCACCATCATTAATAACCCCATTGTCCTCCCTTCCCCTCCAACCCCTCTGCCCTATCTAGAATTTGACGTTTTTAAAGTCAAATAAATATTATATCATAAAACAGTTTAAAGTTTTCTTCTTTTCATGTTTATTTATAAAACTACAAATTTCTCTCAGTAAGATTCATCTGTGTCTCACAAGTTTCAATATGATAAATTTTTGTTTCGTTTTTATTTTGTACATTTTATTAATGATTTCTCATAAATTAGAGATGTTTTTTATTTCCAAAATACTTTTCTCAGTGATTTCTCATTTTACTTCATTGTGATTAGAATATAATAATATCTAAAATTTTGATTCTTTGGTACTTAATAATTAGTATTTATCAAATACCCGTTTTCTTCAGAGTTCTAGGTTCTAATGATATAACAATGAACAAATCACCTACTTCTTTATCTATAGTATTTACATACTGTTGTGAAAGACTTTAAAATATGATACATAAATGATTTACTACTTTGTGTTTCAGTGTGGTCAGATATGATTGCAGAGAAGTCTCCTTTTATCTTGATCCCTTATGTTTATTGAGTAACCTTGTCTGATATTTTCTTAATGTCTGGGACTCTTTTCTCTTCATTAATTCTCTAAGTGATTCTAATACAATATTTCCTGTATCATAATCTTATAGTTATTGTCAGATCAGGCGAGGTGGGCAGAGACCAAAGGAGGCAGATTTAAAAAGGCTGCCGAATGAGGCTTTATTGAGATATCACTCCCAGGTGGAACTCGATCAGACCCACAGAGTGGACAGGAGAAGGGTCTGAGGAGAAACCGCATCGAAGCTTGACCAGACTGGACTTTTATGGGGCTTACAGCAGGAATGGAAGGGCTTGGGACAGGAAAAGGTGTTTTTAGGGTCCCTTGTTTCTTTGGAGTTGGTTAAGGGAGTTGGCTGAACTCCAGGATTGGCCAGGGAGTCCTGCTAATTGACAGGCGTTTCTGCTGGCACTTGATTAATGTTCCTTTCCCACGGGCTGCTTTGTTCTAAGTTGCCACCAAGTCACCACCACCGACCTAACAGTTATCTCAGTAATTCTTGATATTTTGATGCTCAGTGTTTTATATATTTGCTTTCTGGGAGCTATTAGTGCTGTCTTACAACAAAGCAACTTTTGTCTTTCAAATATTTACTTTCAAAACATAATAATGTTTTAGAATAGGACTATTACAACTTTTTAAAAAATGTTTTTCTAGTTGTAGATGGACACAATATCTTTATTTTATTTATTTTTATATGGTGATGAGGATTGAACCCAGTGCCTCACACATGCAAGACAAGCGCAATAACACTGAGCTACAGCCCTAAACCAAGACTATTACATCGTAAGGCTCTAGTTTGGAAGGATTAGATTAGTCACTTTTTTTTACTTAAGTGATATTTTCCAAACTTTTTAAACTATCAAATTTTCTTTACCATAATCTTATACACGCAATAGAAACTAGTCTTGTTATTCATCATTTTCTCTGGTATGTAAAAAGAATTGTTCTGAAGTTCAAATATTAAAGTATAGTATATGTGACTTTGTATGAATTTAAGAAATATCTATATAAATGCATATCTAATTTTGACATTTTTCTCATTTAACAAATCATTAAATATACCATCACCATCTTATCTTTATTTTCTAGACCATTTTTCTTTTCATCCAATTTTTATACTTACTTTTATATTGTGTCACATATATTTATATACTTTCTCATTTCATCTTAGAATGAAGAAGAGTTAATTGATAAATGTTTATATTGAAGTAAAGCTTATTTGCCATGCTGTATATTTTTTAGTTTTTAAAATTGGCACATAAAATTATACATATTTATGAGGTATCTTGTGATGTTTCAATGCATGTGCATATTGTGTAATGTATCTGTATTCTCAAACATTTATTTGTGGTGAGAATTCTTTTAAAAGTAGGAAACTTATTTTCAAGTTCTAGAAAATTAGTATTATATAATTATAAAAAAGGGTTTGTTATGTGCTATGATTTTTTATTGTATTAACATTCTTTGAGCCAAGTTAAAATTAATGTCACAATTAAGAAAATGATTGTTTTAATGTTTTTCAGCTGCTAATAGGTTATGAAAATGGTACTGTAGTATTCTGGGACTTGAAATCTAAAAGAGCAGAACTGAGAGTTTATTATGATGAGGTAAGTGATTTCTACTGAAATATTTGAAGTCTTGTGACTTTGTGTCATTTCTATTTTTAAACTTTGTACTGTACCAGTATTTTTTCGCTGGGAAATTACCTGGTTTTCACACTTTATTTTGTTATTTGTATAAGTTTCAACTCTGGGTTATCCTTCTGAGTAGCATTCTGCCCTGACTGCCAATTTTTAGGCCCTGTTTTAGAGTATCCTATGTACTTGGATTCATGTTACTTATGGTGAATTCCCAATTTTGTCTTATTCCTTTTCTTTCCTCTAGACTCCCATGTGTATGTCTTACTTCCTTGTCCTTAAATTCTCTAAATTCTTTAAGTTTTCCTTAGAAAACTCTTTTCTATGTTAAAAATTCAAATCAATTTGAAATTCAATATCTTTCTGTACTTGCCTTCTTAAAATAGAGATTTTGTAAATGGTAACGTTAATAAGTGACAATAAGATCTTGAAATAAATTTTATTTAACATAATTGAGGATTCGGGAAGCAAAAAACCCCTATTTATCAAGGAAGAGTATCCCAGTTGACAAACTTTTGGTTTGGAGATTGATTCCAGGTCATTAATTATTTCCTCCTTCAGAAGATACTAATAAAGACAAATTGTATTAAAAGGTGAAAAGGTAATTGCTTCTTATAGCTATGGAAGTAAATATGATCATCTATACTATTAAATTTGAAAAATGGGGGAAGGCAATAGGAGAAGATGGTAGAATAGAAGCAGGTTACAAGCTCCAGCTCTTCCGCAGTTCAGAACCACAATAGCTGGAGAGAGATGCAGCAAGTTGGGTGACTGAGATCTAGTAATAGACTGACAGACACTTGGAGAGACTCAGATTCTGGTTACTGGAATAGACAGTGAAAAAGAGTTCATCAGTTTTGAAGCTGCCAAAGACGCAAAGTTGGGAAAATTGCTTCAGAAGCAGTAGTAGAAGAGAAAATCAGAATTTAGCTGATACAGAAACTACATACCAACATGTGAAAAGGGCTCTACTTCTCTTTAACTAGTGAGTAGAGAGCTGTGGCCAAAAAGCCAGAAGGTCAAACCTAAGTTTAGAGTTTTGGGAAAGACAAATTCTTGCATCTTCATCTCCTCCGGAGATAGTGGCAAATATTGTTATGGAAGAATGCCTTTGAGGCAAGCTATCTAAATGATATACACAGTGAAATCACTGCAACAAAAGACCACCACGCCTACCACCAATCAGAGGTGAAAGCAGAGTAAAACTGGGTGCAGTCTGTTACCTGGGTGCAAGGCACTTTTCCCCCGTACCAAAATCTTCCTGAGTGTATACATACACACTCATTGCTCATGTCTGTACCGAGGAGGGTTCTATCTGCTGAGCCAAGAATGTTATAGCACCATCACCTTGGCTCAAGTAGGAGCTTCTGGGGCCATGGTAGTGCTCCTAGTACCACTTAAACTGTGCTACAAAAGGGCAAGTAGAGGGCTGTTAATAGCTTGGGCACATGGCTCTGCTTCATGTGAACACAAAAAGCAGCTCCTCAGTGCAGAGACAAATCCAGGAACTTGGCCTGTAGACATTCCAGGGATGTCCTCTCTGTGCCACCAGAGAACACACTGATGCCTGGACTGACATGGTACTAAAAATGTTGTATATGTGTTCATCAGAGCTAGGCAGGGTGAAGATGGTGAAGATAGGATTTGGATACTGGATTTCATGCAGTTTTTTGAAGAAGGATGCCAATCTGGATGTGGGAAAACTTAAATATACATTGCTGCACCACAACTCAGTGCTGATTTAAGCTACTGAGGCTTAAACATTTCTCACACCTCTCATACCTGGTGTATTCCAAATCATGAAGTCTCTAAAAGAAGTTTCTCTATCTTTAAAACCTTAACAAGGAGGGCTTTTATTATTTTTAAAGTTAGTTGGTTTTGCTGGTATTGTCTACTATTTTGGTTTCATTATATTCCCCTCATTATTTTTATTATATATTTCTAAAAAATCTTCTTTCTTGTCTTTTAAAATTAACTCGATTCATTTTCTCTACCTTTTTTCTTCTTTATCATTTTTATTCCTCTCAAGTACTTCTTGACATAAAGAGACTGATAGGCAATAACAATGGGTGACTTTAATAAAGCACTCTCACTGATAGATCATTCAGACAAAAAAATCAAAAAAATACTACAAAGTTAAATATATTTTAGGTCAAGTGCATTTAAGTCATCTACAGAATATTTTATTCAATAACAACTGAATATACTTTCTTTTCAGCTGCTCATGCAACTTCCTGCAAAGTAGATCAAATGTTAAATCACAAAATCAAGTCTTTCTAAATAAAAAAAGTTAAAATGATTTTTATGTTTTATTAAGTTAAAAAATTCTTATAATCAAACGAGAAACCCAGCATCTCAGAATCTCAAAATAGTTTTAAAATGGCAGTTTATATCTATAAGGGCCTATATAAAAAATAAGATCTTAAACAAATAACCCAATTATACTTCTCAAGGTCTTAGAAGAACATGTACAAACAAATCCCAAGAGCAGTAGAAGGGAGCAAAAATTAAAGATCAGAGCTGAAATGAACGAAATAGAAAATAACAGAACAAATTAAAGTATCAGTGGCTCCAAGAGTTGTTTGTTGGAAAGATAAACAAGGTTGACCAGCCATTAGCCAAACTAACCAAAAGAGAGAAGACCCAAATTAATAAAATAAGAGATGTAAAGGGGAATATTACAAGAGACACTGCAGAAATCCAGATGATCATTAATTACTATTTTGAAAATTTATATTCTAACAAATTAGAAAATCTAGAAGAGATGGATAAATTTCTAGACACATATTACCTACCAAAACTGAACCAATATGAAATAGAAAAGTTAAATAACAATGAGCAATAATGAGCAATGAGGTTAAGTCAGTAGTAAAAACCCACCCAACAAATAAAAGCCCAGACCAAATGGATTTAAGTAGAATTTTGCCAGAACTTTAAAGAACAACTAACACCAATGCACCTCAAAAATTATTCTGTGAAAATAGTACATGAAATTTCTCTTTAAATGCCATGGGTTTCAAAGACCTCCAGACTTATTCTCCAAAGCAGTATCACCCTGATACCCAAATCAGATAAGGACACAACAAGAAAAGAAAATTGCAGAACAAAATCCTTTATAATCATAGGTGCAAA